TCGAAAAAAAAAAAAAAAAACAATCTAGGAAAGTACCGTTCGACATCCGGTGATTTAAGAACATGCTACACGGGAGCAATTATATGTTGTTGTTTCGCGTGTAACTAATAGAAGGGGTTGAAAATATTAGTTTGTGAGGATGACGAGTTGCCCAATAATCAAACTCATAATGTTTTGTACAAAGAGGTCTTTCATAATAAATGATTGTTTTTTTGTCGAATACTATTTTTTTGCACAATTTTCCTGCGTATTATAAAACTTTTATTGAATTTTGCATCTTATAATATAATATTCCCCAAATAATATATAGCCTGACGTCAGGTACTATATATATCCCGTATATTTTTCTTTATTCATTAATATAATATTTCTTAATATATATTTTAAGGAGTGAACTCATTTTAAGGAGTTTGATATAAAAGTTTGCTATATGTCAATGGTGTTTCGTAATCCTCTGTGTTTGGTTTGGAATAGTACAGTACATATGAACTATCGACCTTAAAATGAGTTCACTCCTTAAAATATATATTAATTAAATAATAAAATAATTATTAGTTGACTCCAGCGTTGACCGTTGACTTCCGGCGAAAAATCGATGACTTTCGACGTTGACCGTTGACTTTCGGTTACCGTTGACCCCTAGTATGCATTATATGTATGAAGTAAATATGCATCCAGTACCATACATTCAATATGAACTAAATATGCATGAGATATGAATTGCACATGCAGTCCTTATGAACTAAATATGCACCAATAATATCAACTAAGTATGCACCTGTTATGAACTAAATATGCATCTGTTATGAACTAAATATGCATCATGAATGAACTAAATATGCAGCGAAAAATATGCAATAAAATGTGCATTTTATATAGGTAATTTATGATGCATATTTAGTTAATTTATTATGAATATTTAGGTAATTTATGATGCATATTTAGTTAATACGAATGCATACTTGTTATATTTAAATTAAATATATAATGATATTTATATAATTAATTTATTATGCATATTTACTTAATTCATGATACATATTTAGTTCTTACGAAATGCATATTTAGTTTATTTTATTTGAGATCCAATCATAACAATTTATTTGTGTTATTAATCAATTTAAAATTAAAATTAATTATATAATAAAAATCATTAATTATTATATTTAATTTAATTGTATAAAATGTATATTTTATTGCATATTTTCGTTGCATATTTAGTTCATTCCTGATGCATATTTAGTTAGTTAAATGTGCATATTTAGTACATAAACAGTGCATACATAGTTGATATTACTGGTGCATATTTAGTTCATAAGCATAACATATATAATGCATTTCTGATGCATATTTAGTTCATACTAAGTGCATAGTACTGATGCATATTTACTTCATACACAATGCATACTAAGGGTCAACGGTCAATGTTGAAAGTCAACGCCAGAAGTCAAAGGTCAACGCCGGAAGTCAACAATTTTTGCCGGAGTCAACGGTCAACGCCGAAGTCAATGGTTAATTGTCAAAATAATATTTAAATAATTAAAATAATAAAATAAAGAAATAAGTAATAAAAATAAAGAATTATTATTTAATTGAAGAGTTAATCTTAGCCACACATAATGTACCAATCTAATGGCTAGGAATGAGTCTCACATTCACATTTTAAATATGTGGACTCATTGGATCCAATCCCTATATATATATATATAAATATATATATATTTAAATTTTAACTTTTATGAAGCACCTCAAACTGACAAATATGATTATCAAAGCATCAAAAGTTGACACGTAGAATTGAAATGTTTTGTATTAATATATAGGAGAATTTCTAAATATTGGGGTATCATTTTCTTGAAAAACTAGTACAGGGCCCGTGCGATTCACGAGGTGCACAATTTTAAGATCATTTACCCAGCCTCATTATTATATAAATGAATAAAAAAAATGTACGGTTTATATATAATACGTGACATGTGCGAGGCACGGGATATATTATTTGGGGAATATTATATTATAAGATGCAATATTCAATAAAAGTTTTATAATACGCAGGAAAATTGTACAAAAAAAAATAGTATTCGAAAAAGAAACAATCATATATTATGAAAGACCTACTTGTACACAACATTATGAGTTTGATTATTAGGCAACTCGTCATCCTCACAAACTAATATCTTCAACCCTTTCTATTTGTTCCACGCGAAACAACAACATATAATTGCTCCCATGTAGCATGATTTTAAAATTACCGGATGTCGTACTTTCCTAGATTGTTGTCAACTTGGTAATTCTTGATACAAATAATCACGCCCTCCTCAAAATTCCTCTCTCTAAACGCAGCCAAGTTGATTGCTCGTAGCCATGCCGCAATGCGATTTCCCTCAACATGTACAAAAAAGTAATTAATTAAAAATTAATTTTTTTAGAAAATATAAATAATTTAAGTATCTGAATACATACACGATAAAAATAAAGAAGCCAAATTTTAAATTTAAAACATAAAATTAAAAAAGTAGAAAATATACATTTCATAGTTCGAAATTAAAAAAAAAAAGTAAAAATAATTTGGCTTACAGTTTTATCATGAAGAACCAACTCGAGTTAGGATTTGTATGTGCTGCCCCGATCTTGAATAAACATTCTTACAATTCGAGCCTTCAACATAGGCCTTTTAGACCTATTAACTTGTTTGATTAAGTCAAACCCTTGATTCATTGTTTTGAATATAAGACTAATTGGGGATATTTTTTTTTTTCGCAGGAGGTTGACAGGGACGAAGACGATGGCTCAATATTTTGAGATTTGTATATATTCGATCGATAGATACAATAGCGGTTAATATTTTTATGAAAAAATCTCATTATACGGAAATGGGATTACATCTAGAGAAACAAATCTGAACAGATTTTCATACAATTAGATACGATCGGTGATAAAAAGATAAGAAGGAATTTTGAATATATACAAACTTTAAAAATTAGATGTATTTACGTAAATCAATACACAACTAAACCCTTTAATTTAGGCCTGATATCTGCTTTATTTATGGGTGATGTAAAATAAAGATATAACTTTGACCGATCAAATCTTTTATTACCGATCGAATATGCCTCTTTTTTAGATTTTACGTACAATTTTTTGAGAAAATAGATTTTATGGGAATTTTTTGATTAAACCGATGTAATGAGGGAAAACGAATAAATAAAATAAGTAAATAAAATACTAACCTAAAAATAGGATGCATTAATTAATGTTGACTTTTCTTACTACTAAATATAATAAATAGATGGCTTATTATATAAGTATAGAAGATTGTTGAGAAGATCCATCTAACATTATTTAATGAAAATTATTTTTAAAAATTCAAATATTAAAATATTTTATGCTATTTTGATTTGAGTTTGTGTACAACTAATAATTTGTGTAGTTAAATGTTAATTAACACAGATGAACTGTGTGGATGAATTTCCCAAATACCTGTACATCACAGCATTGATTAGCCAAAATATTAACCTGATGGCTTCGAAGATACACATAATATAATGCAAGCAAAATTTTACTCATTCTCAAAAAACTTTCCAGGAAGTACACTAGCAGTTTCTGATTTGAACTTCTGTTTTTCCATGAAAATTCGTAAAATAATACAAAATCATTTTTTGAAGGTTTTAGTCGATACTGTCATGATGTCCCGTTTTTTCATCACCGTCCTCCTCTCCGTACACGATGGAAAAATAGTGCCCTAAATCCGCAGGCGTGAGACCCGGAAATCGATGGATACTGCTCGGATTCAGATCTATTTGGACAAAAGGCCATTTCATGGACTCAGCAGCTGCACATTCTTCCCAGCCATCTCCAATAACACAGAATTGAACGTGAGGCCCTTTGAAACGATCCTTAATCCACGTGAAGCACTGGAGCTTTCCCACTTCCAGAGAGCTGTAAACTGGACAACCGTACAAATTCATTAGTCAGCTGGAAATCCGATAACTGTGCATTTCAAAGATTCACGAGCAACATTTGCATGAGTGTTGTTTACAACTTGAAAGCACAAATATAATCATACGGCAAAATCATGCCTTACTGCAGTTACATTCTGCAAAATCATGCCTTACTGCACAAATATAAGCTCACCATTATTGCAAGTTATCATGCTATCGAGTCGAAAGAATAGGCATTTGACCAAGCTTGGTACAAGTGGCCCAGATGTAACCAAAATGTTCACATGCTCAAACTCTTCATCTCTAGCATTGTTTGAGCTCACACTCGTATCTCTTTTGAGTCCCGCACACTGCTCCAAGCATGCCCTAGCTGTATCAGTTAGTAAGGAAAATTTATTCTTCTCTAGGAGCTAATAAGAATGGGGAACACTAGTAAAAAATAAAATCAGAATCAAACGTTGTCATTTGAACACCACCGATTTACCCAATTTACCATTTAATGGTTTACATGAATTTAGGTGAACACTTAAAATTTTCAGTTTCAAGGAGAAATAAAATGATATGCATGGTGCTCTCCGTGTTTAATAGCGTAACAGTGATGAATTATCGCACAGACAAAACATATTACCTGAAGAAAACCACTTCTCAGTGTAAGTGTCAGACAAATCATAGAGACTATCCCACAATTTTAAAGCATCATCATTTAGAATATTTCGCAAACCCTGCCAAAAAAAGTAATATCATAGTTACCAAAATATAAATCATAATATCTCTTCTATGTCATAACATTTCACAATAGCATAGTGGTATATCCTTCAACCAAGTTACTGCTGACTACATCGGGGATATGAAAAAAGGATCGGCAAAGTATAAGAAGGATTAGGAAAAAGGATGAGCAAAATAGTAACTCTACAAATATAGTTCTAATCAGTATTTTATTGCTGATTACTACTACATGGAATTTCCTCAATTTCTAAAGGAACTACTTAAGCTGAACCACTACTTCGGCTACACGCAATACCCAATGCAAACAATTGATATGTAATCACTGAATCAACAAGGATTAGTATGTATAATTAAGAAAAACAGATAAAAGAAAGAGTACCTGACGATACTTCTCAGCAATAACACGGTGGCGGTATGCCAGTTTACGTTTGTTAAGAGCATCGAGCGGATGACCAAAACCATCTTTATGGAAGTCATAATCAGAGAGGTCCAGGCCGTCATCACATTCATTAAAGACATCAAGATATGGTTGATTGAAATGTTCAATCTAAGATCATCACGTATGTTAGCTAAAACTCATGGACACATTACAGAAAACATAAAACAAATCCCAAGAAGCCTAAGAAAGAATAAAAAAGGAGTGAGTGAGTGAGAGAGAGAGAGAGAGAGAGAGAGTACTTGATTGTAAAAAAAATGTAAGTCGCACACTTGAAGAATATGGTTCTCCCAAAGTTTTCCAATCTTCACCCCATTATCCACATCCTTAAGACCATTAAAAGACCCAGCATATGCCCCACTCAGTAAAGATCTGAGTAAGATTAGAGTTTCATCCATGTCCCAAATGTATACATTCGTTTTCTGATCCATGCTCGCTCTCTGAGAACTATTATAATGCTTCAACTGAATATCAATCATCAACTCACAATGAACCCTGAAAGATAAGAATGCCATTTTGAAAACATCAATTAATTACTAGTGCATCCAAAACTTCTAAAAAAAATATTGTGGAAATTTATGCAAGTGAGACAACAAACAACATTACATTTTGAAGACCTAAAAGAGTCCAAGGTTCTTTTTAGCTTGATCAAAGACCAAAAAGAAAAAAAAAAAAAAAA